CTCATCCATCTCCTCCCTCCGTGCCACTCCCCCTTGGACTCAGACACCAAATTTGGTCACTCTCCCATGAAAGGCTCCAAGTCTCAGGCGAAGAGCAAGGACAAGGACAAGGACAAGTCCAAGGCACCCAAGGATGACAAGAAGAAGAAGCAGCAGCCGGTCCCTGAGCTCCCCGAGAAGAAGAACAAGCAGAAGATCGACGAACTGAAGGTACCTGGGGTGATCCTAGGGACGATGTGCCTTGGGACATCTCTGCCAGGGTTGGGAAGGAGTCCAAGGTCACAAAAAATGGGTTTTTCTGGGATAGGCTCATCCTTGGGCAGCTTGGAGAGCCCCAGCTCGAGGGTGAGAGTTTTCCAGCCAGGATTCAGGGCAGAGGTGGGCTCTGGTTCGGTGATCCCATGGATTTCTCAGGATTTATGTGGTCCTGGGGTTCAGACGGAGTTTGATCTGGGTCTTGCACAGAGGAGGAACAGTGGCCCCACCCACTGTTCTGATAGTCCCTTTTTCCAACCCAATAGTGCTGGAGATCCTTCCCCATGCTCCAAAATTGGGCACTGGGAGCTGAGGTGTCCATGTTCACAGAATCCCAGGATCCCTGAGGATGGAAAAACACTCCCAGCCCCTTGAGTCCAACCTGTGCCCAATCCCTACTTTGTCCCCAGCCCAGAGCACTCAGTGTCACCTCCAGCCTTTCCTGGGACATCTCCAAGACCGGGGAATCCAAACCTCCCTGGGCAGCCCCTGCCAAGGCCTGACCACCCTTTCCATGCAGAAATTCCTCCTGGTGTCCACCCTGAGCCTGCCCTGGCCCAGCCTGAGGCCGTTCCCTCTCCTCCTGTCCCTTGTTCCTTCTGAGCTGACTGAGTACCCACCACATCTTTTTCCCTCACCTTTCTTTTTATCCCAAATTCCTTCCTTTTAACTTCCCCTCATCTCAGGTTTTCCACAAAGAGCTGGAAGCAGAGTTTGACAACTTTGAGGACTGGCTGCACACCTTCAACCTGCTCCGGGGGAAGATCGGGGACAACGACGACAACGCCACAGAGGAGGAGCGGATCGTGGGCAGGTTCAAAGTGAGTCGGGAATGTCGGCCGGGGCGATGAGATGGGATGGGATCAATGGGATCCATGGGATGGGATCAGGTGGGATCCATGGGATCCATGGGATGGGATGGGTTCCATGGGATGGGATGGGATGGGATGGGTTCCATGGGATGGGATGGGATGGGATCCATGGGATGGGATGTGTTGGGTGACGAGGAAAAAAACGGGTCATGCAGACACCAATATGATGAGAAATGATCACTTTATTTCTAATACAAGCTCTTTTTATCTATTTTCGTAAACTAACTCTTCTATATGAATGGTAATTATTCGTTGGTTGGTTTAGCAGTCTGTCTATGACTTCTCAGCATATGATTGGTATATTTGCAAAAGCGTGTTTTGTGTGCCTTGTAGTTTTTTATTCAGTGTTTTCAGCATTTTGCTCTTTCTTCAATTGTTCTTTGTTTTTCAATTGCTCTTTTTTTTGTTTCTTACTATGTTTCCTCTTTATGGTCAGTGTGAGGTACATGTTACACTGCTGTAGTCACGTCCTTCTCTTTCTTATCTTCTTTTATCTTACCTTGCTCTGTCTTGTAGTCTGGGTTGCTCAGTAACAGCAATTCGTGACTTCATTCCTATAGAACTTGTCTAACATAGATTCACTTAACAGAGATCCTTGGGATGGGATGGGATGGGATGGGATGGGATGGGATGGGATGGGATGGGATGGGATGGGATGGGATGGGATGGGATGGAATGGGATGGGATGGGGTTTCCCTGGAGCCCCAAGTCAGCAGGACTCAGCTGTGCTGTGCCCTCCCTCGCACCAGGGCTCCATGTGCGTCTACAAAGTGCCGCTCCCTGACGACATCACCAAGGAAGCGGGATACGATCCCACTTTCGGGATGTTCCAGGGGATCCCCAGCAATGACCCMATCAACGTGCTGGTCCGAGTCTACGTCGTGCGGGTGAGTGGGATTTGGGGTGACAGGCGGGATCCAGGGCTCCCGTCCGCCTGGATCTGCTCCTGGTGCCACGGGAATGATGGGATTCAGCTCCAGTCAGGACTGGGATGCAGCTTGGGGAYTGGAGCAGCTCCTTGGAATGGTTTGGGTGGGAAGGACCTTAAAGCCACCCCAGTGATGGTTCAGAGTGGGAGAGAACAGGAGAAAAAGAGTGGGATTGAATCTGGCAGGATCGAGTTGATCCATCTGAAGGACACGGCGCCTCCTTGAACACGCACTCCGTGATTGCTGATCTGATCCAGCCAATGCACGTTSTTCCTTTATATATGGAATGTGATCCGTAAAAAGTCACTTCCCTACTCCGAATTGGTCATCCCCCATCCCAAATAAAACCCCCAAGAGTAGAGTTCTCCAGACAGGCTCTTGGGAAGGATCTCCATCCTCTGGAAGCACCTGGGCTGTCCTTTCCCATCCCCTTGTCACAGTGTCTCACAAATGAAACCTCCTTTTGGCTCTGTTTCCCACCATGGTCCTCCATCCAGAGCTGCTCCCCATTGGGATGTGGAGTCTCCCACTCATCCCCAGCCTGGAATAGCAGACACGAGGCTGGTCAGCCCCAAAACCAGTGTGAAATAGCAGACACGAGCCTGGTCAGACCCCAAATCATCCTGGAATCGCAATAGCAGACACGAGGCTGGTCAGCCCCAAAACCACCCTAGAATAGCAAACACGAGGCTGGTCAGACCCAAAACCAGGCTGGAATAGCAGAGGTTTTGGTCAGCCCCAAAACCATCCTGGAATAGCCAACACGAGGCTGGTCAGCCCCAAAACCAGCCTGAAATAGCAGACCCCAGGCTGGTCAGCCCCAAAACCAGGCTGGAATAGCAGACACGGGGCTTGTCAGCCCCAAAACCAGGCTGGAATAGCAGATAAGAGGTTGGTCAGCCCCAAAACCAGCCTGGAATAGCAGCCACGAGGCTGTCAGCCCCAAAACCAGTCAGGGCTGTTGGGTGGATGTGTCCCCACATGGAAATCTGCTGCTCTGCCCTGCTGGAGGTGGTGCTGGAGAATTTTGGGGTTTTTACCCCCTTTCTGAGGAGAATTCAATGGAGAGTTTTTGGGGTTTTACCCCCTTTCTGAGGGGAATCCAATGGAGAGTTTGGGGTTTTTACCTCATTTTTGAGGAGAATACAATGGAGAGTTTTGGGGTTTTTGCCCCCTTTCTGAGGAGAATCCAACGGAGAGTTTTGAGGTTTTACCCCCTTTCTGAGGAGAATCCAATGGAGAGTTTGGGGTTTTTACCCCCTTTCTGAGGAGAATCCAACGGACAGTTTGGGGGTTTTACCCCATTTTTGAGGAGAATCCAATGGAGAGTTTGGGGGTTTTACCCCATTTTTTAGGAGATTCCAATGGAAAGTTTTGGGGGTTTTACCCCCTTTCTGAGGAGAATCCAACATGGGGTGACCACGAGGGGAAGGGGACAGGTGTCTCAGCACCTTGGGCAGGTTCTTGATGAGGGTGATTCCTTAGAGAATCCTTCTTTGCCTCTTCTGAGATTCCAAAGGTGACAGWGGTGACGTCTCTGAGGACACAGCCAGCTCCAGGCTCTCCCTAAACCGGCACAGGGATTAACACAAGGCAGGAATATCAATATCCCCCTTTCAACCCAAAACAGGGACACAGAAGGACCAGTCCACTTAGGGACTGAAGAGCCAGCCTAGCTGTTTTCTGGGATGGAGAAGGGCCCCAGCCCTAAATCCTTGGCTGCCCTGGCCAGCACTGACCCATCCTGTCCACTCCCTCCAGGCCACTGACCTCCACCCGGCCGACATCAACGGGAAAGCCGATCCCTACATCGCCATCAAGCTGGGCAAGACGGACATCAAGGACAAGGARAACTACATCTCCAAGCAGCTCAACCCTGTCTTTGGGAAGTGAGTCCTCACCTGGAATCGCTGAGCTGAGCCTGAGCTTAGACCTGCACCTGGGCTGTGCCACAGAGCTGGAATGATGGGATTCACCCCATGGTGGGGATGTCCTCCTGCCAGGATGTCCTTCTGTTGTGGTCACTGTAGCACCGGGGATTAAAGAGATGAATCTGAAATTTATCAGATCGAGGTGCAATACCCACGTAGGAACAGTCAGACGGGAATTTGAGTGACAATAAGACACAAACTCAGTTTCAGGGCTGTCGGGACACCCAGGCCGAGGATTTTCTCTCCTGTTGAGGGCACAGCTGATGGGTTTAGTTAAACCCACCTCAGATGGGTTTAAACACCACCAAATCAAACACCACCCGGAGCAGCCTCTCCTTCCCCTAGGCCTGTCCTGAGTGGCAGCCAAACCCTCCAACAGCTTTTCTTGCTTTCCCCCACCCCAGATCCTTCGACATCGAGGCCACCTTCCCCATGGAGTCCATGCTGACCGTGTCCGTGTACGACTGGGACCTGGTGGGCACCGACGACCTCATMGGGGAGACCAAGATCGACCTGGAGAATCGCTACTACAGCAAGCACCGGGCGACCTGTGGGGTGGCCCAGACCTACTCCATGTACGGGGAAAGCCTTCCCTGCCCTCCTCCCACCCTGAGCTCCCGTGGGAATCGGCCCTGTTCGCTGCCTGCTGATCCTGGAATGATTTATTTTGGGAAGGACCTCACTCAGTCCAGTCTGGCCATGGGCAGGGATCAATGGAGGAGTCTGTGCTGTCCCTGGGTTTGTGAGCAGCACAGCAGGGAGCAGTGGAATGGGTCATCAGGAGYCCRGGAGGGAGGGAYTGGGGGCACTGGGGGGACTGGGAAGAGGGGTGAGGTCAGGGCTGAAATAGGAGCAGAGAAAACAAAACGTGGGGTGCACTGGGAATTCCAGGTCTGAGCCAGGGTGGGGTAGGACTTGTTTGCAAGAGGGGCACAGAGGGACCAAGTCTGCTCTGAAGTCTCACCTTTGCTGTCTCAAACCCTTTCCCTGGGAATTCTGGGTCCTTCACGTCACAATAGGGTTTTTTTTCCTGGCAAAATGGAACAAAATAGCTCTTTCCTCCCAATTTTTTTTTGGCTGACCTCTCCCTCCCATTTCCAGCCACGGCTACAACACTTGGCGTGACCCCATGAAGCCGTCCCAAATCCTGTCCAAGCTGTGCAAGGAGGGAAAAGTGGATGGGCCACACTTCGGGCCAGGGGGAAGGGTGAAAGTTGCCAACAGAGTCTTCACCGGCCCCACGGAGATCGAGGATGAAAATGGTATGGCCCTGTGGGATCATCCCATGGGATGGGGCTCTGGGTGGGGTGGGGATCTCATCATCATCCAGAATTGGGATCTCAGGGTACTTTGAACCATGGAATGGTCTGAATGGGACCTTTGAAGGTTGTCCAGCCTAATCCCATCAGATAGGGGTGGCCCCATCCCAGTATGGGGCCGGTCACAGATCCTACAGATCCCCCAGGCCAACGGGTACTTCTTGGGATCACTCAAGGGCATCCATGGACACCCAGAGGGAGCAAAGCTGCCTCTGGAAACACCCTCCAGGCAGTGCCAAGACACCTCACGACTTTTCCAGGGTTTAGGGAGCTGTTTGCCATGGAAATGCATTCCCAAAGAATGGGAAAAGGGGGTTGTGTCCCAACAAGAAACAGGCCAGGAGGGTGAAGGAGAGGAGGAGAACATGGTCAGTGGACACAGAACTGATCCAGCCAGGGAAGACATAGACTGGATGGGGATTGAGACCTTCTGCAGGGATGGAGAGAAGAAAGAGGAGGTGGGACAAGGGACAAAGTGTTTCCAAAGGATGGAGAGGATGAGGCAATTCTGCCTCTTGGAGCAAGGCCCACCCTGGATTTTCCAGGGTTTAGGGAGCTGTTTGCCATGGAAATGCATTCCCAAGCAATGGGAAAAGGGGGTTGTGTCCCAACACATCCATGTGTGCCCAAGAAACGGGGAGACAGGCCAGGAGGGTGAAGGAGAGGAGGAAAACATGGTCAGTGGACACAGAACTGATCCAGAGAAGACATGGACTGGATGGGGACCTTATGCAGGGATGGAGAGAGGAGAGGAGATGAGACAAGGGATAAAGTGTTCCCAAGGGATGGAGAGGATGAGGCAGTTCTGCCCCTTGGAGAACGGCCCACCCTGGATTTTCCAGGGTTTAAGGAGCTGTTCTCCATGCAAATGCATTCCCAAAGAATGGGGAAAGGGGGTTGTGTCCCAACAAGAAACAGGCCAGGAGGGTGAAGGAAAGGAGGAGAACATGGTCAGTGGACATGGAATTTGTCCAGCCAGGGAAGACACAAGACAGGAAGGGGATTGAGACCTTCTGCAGGGATGGAGAGAGGAAAGAAGAGGTGGGACAAGGGACAGAGTGTTTCCAAGGGATGAAGAGGATGAAGCAGTTCTGCCTCTTGGACTAATGCCCACCCTGGATTTTCCAAGGTTTTAGGAGCTGTTTTCCATGGAAATGCTTTCCCAAAGAATGGGAAAAGGGGGTTGTGTCCCAACACATCCATGTGTCCCCAAGAAATGGGGAGACAGGCCAGGAGGGTGAAGGAGAGGAGCAGAACATGGTCAGTGGACATGGAACTGATCCAGATAGAGAAGATTGAGGGATGGAGATTGAGACTTTCTGCAAGGATGGAGAGAGGAGAGAGGAGGTGGAAAGTAGCGGCCAAGGGACAGTTCTGCCCCTTGGAGAAAGGCCCACCCTGGCTTTTCCAGGGCTTAGGGAGCTGTTTTCCATGGAAATGCATTCCCAAAGAATGGGAAAAGGGGGTTGTGTCCCAATAAGAAACAGGCCAGAAGGGTGAAGGAGAGGAGGAAAACATGGTCAGTGGGCATGGAATTGGTCCAGTCAGGGAAGACACAGACAAGATGGAGATTGAGACCTGGATGGGGATTGAGACCTTCTCT